GGCCCGATTTTGTGATTCTTGATTGTGAAGTGGATGCAAAAATTCCAATCATTCTTGGTAGGCCTTTCTTGGCTGTCGGAAGGGCCATATGTGATGTTGAAGCTGAAGAGCTCAAATTACGGTTGATTTATGAAGAAGTGGTGTTCCACATCCAAAAATCAATGAAGCATCCACATGACTATGGAGTGATATCCGTGATTGATATGGTCAATGAAGTGGTAGATGAGGATATGCAAGAAATTTGTATGGATGAAGCTTTCATGAGGTTATACTCAGTTCGGAGAATGAAGCAATGGATGGTTACATTGAAGCCGTGATGGCTTTGGAGGGACTCGGTTCCAACTCTTACAAGCCGGCAAAATTATCCCTCGATTTGGAGAATCGAGTTACTCCTCCTACTAAACCATCTATCATTGAGCCACTAAAGCTTGAGTTGAAGCCTTTGCCTTCACATTTGAAGTATGAATTTCTAGGCCCTAATGAATTTTTGCTCGTTATTATCTCATCCTCTTTGTCTAGTGTGCAGGTATTGAGTGATGTGCTCAAAAATCACAAATCGGCATTAGGTTGGACCATTGCGGATATCTGGGGGATAAGTCTGTCCTTTTGTACTCACAAGATAAACTTAGAGGATAGGTGCAAGCCAAGTGTGGAACACTAAAGAAGGCTCAATCCTCTTATACAATAAGTGGTCAAGAAGGAAATTATAAAATAGTTACTGTTGGTATAGCATATCCAATCTCGGATAGCACTTGGGTAAGTCCGGTACAATGTGTGTGTCATGACCCAAACCGATGGGCTGAGATGGGCACTCGGTACCATAATTAATCGAGCACCAATATAATATATCTTTTCATGTCATACTATTACAGATAACTGTGCCGGAAGGCGGCCATGTGATAAGTAGAATGCAACATGTGATACTAACTTATGCATAAGACATACAACCTATAAAATAAAAATAGCCACTCATATATTGAACATAGGCCGACAAGACCATACAATCTTTTACGTATATGACATCTGTTTACAAGCTTCTAAGAATACGTAACTTTCATAAAGAACAATACACATCTAAATTATACCAACCAAACAAGCAACTCCGAAGCAAATGGAGCGCACCAACACCTTCCGCTGAGCTGATAGCCTACTTGGAGGGCTCTCGATCTGTCTATCGGGACATGCGGGCATGAAACGCAGCCTCCTCAGGCAAAATGGACATCAGTACGAATAATGTACCGAGTATGTAAGGCACATAAATAAGTACATAACAGACATGGAAGAAATATAAAGTAAATGACTCAGCCTGTAAGTCTGGAAAATTCTGGAATATATGAAATAACTATAGTGTCGTGCATATGCGTATGAATGTCATGTCGTGCATAGGTACATGTTTCATAACATCATTAGGCCTCTGNTAAAATCTCTTGGAATGTCATAAGACCCTTATGCCTTTGAGTAATATCATGAAGTAAATATTTTTCAACTTAAGTATTTTTGTGAGACCCATGAACAGATGAAATAATATAATACATGGAGAATCAAGAACATAAGCATCTCTAGCATTTCTATGAATAGAGTCATTTATGAAAATTGCGCATTTGCTCGTTTCGTTTGTGTCGTATAGATCATGCCAAAAGAAAGAAGGGATAGCCTTAACATACCTGAGCCGATTCTCTTGAAAATCCCTTTAATACACGTTGATTGCAACAAAACGCGTAACGACGAATCGAAGTAGGAAAAAATTCGTGTGATATTCTTAAGAAAGATTGTGCCATGCTCTCTTAGAACCACGATTTCACGATGCTCTACAACTTGACCAGCACTATCTGAAAATTTAAATGATGATTCTTTTATCAGTTTGTTGAATCTTATAGCAGCTTCCTATAGATATTTCACACCCCAAATTCACATTACATATGACATCTCGAAAAATACTTGCAATTCCTTCTCACTTGAAACCATGGGTTCCCTTTAAATCCACCACTTGTATATCCATTCCAACGACCAAGTAATCTTAGCTTCTCTTTTTAAATGGAGAAGAGAACTTGTCCATAAATATGCATGAGAAATACTTCATTGTTATTTGTTTCTTGGTAGTTGTCAACTCTGAAAATAATTTCACCTTTAGAATTAAAGACAGTACAACCATTCCCATGGAACACTAGGGATTTCATCCATATAGTGAATGTTTCTCTTGTGGACGTCACATATTTAGGAGAGGTAAATTAAAGAGAATTAGAGTTCTTGAATGTTTCTGGATAAATGTTTGTCATTGAAATTAATAACAGCTTGAATGAACAAGTTGGAAGCAAGTTTTAATAATTTAAGGAGCTTTTTGGGTACTTGTATCCACCAAAGTATAATGAGTTCTCCAATATTGCCACATTATCTCAACACTTTCTTAGTCATATTAGGCTTGATTAACCCTTTACTCTTGCTTCCACGTTTAGGGGTGGGTGTCCCCCTAAGCTTTATCCAAAAATTCCATAATTATCCAGTTTTTCCCACAATTAAGAATTATCTTAAATTACTTATAATATTACTCACTTTTAACACACTTTGTACACCTTACTATCATGGTCATGTGGTACCTTGTACGGTACTTGTCCCTAAATACCGGGTATTTTATCTCGGATCGTATTTTATCACAAAATGCCAAATTTCGACGGAAATTCATTTTCTTTGATTTGCTTACCCTCTCACCTTCACGAATTTACTCATCACTTGTGAAATAGCATAATCCTTATAATCTTCGAATAATCTTTTCCTTGGAATGATGTCAATTACCTTATGACAAATTCAATGTACAATACTACAGAGTGCAACATAGTCGTAATTTAATACTACGAAGCGTAACATCATCGTAATGTAATACTGCGGCACGAAATATCGACGTAATATAATACTGCAAGGCGTAAAAGCTTCGTAATATAATACTGCAAGGTATAACATCATCGTAATATAATACTGTGAGACGTAATATCGATGTAATATTGCGGGCGTAACATCATTCCACCCTTTGGAACATTCGTCCTCGAATGTTGACTGATGCTATTATCATTTTCATAACTTATAGCTCTCGTGAATACCTCAATACTCTCCTTGCCATTTGGGAAGTTGTTTTGTGAATAAATCCAAAGGCCGGTGCATTCCCCCCTTTAGGCCTCTTTCCCACGCCATGACTTATGATCGAATTTCTTTCAATCTCGTAACTGTTGCTACCTTCTATCATGTAGCCTCTACGATACTGACCTTGTAAGTATGCCTATGCAACTCTTCTCTCCTTTTTCCTCCAGATTTTTGCCAATCTCTTGGCCTTACTTTGTAAATACAGATACAAGGTTTAATAGGACGCATCTCTAGGCATCTATAGGTGTACTGAAGTTCTTCGCTCGGTACTTTGTAGAACTTGCATATATGACTATATCTTATTTCATAGACCTGGTTATCCATTCGTATGACTTTACTACCTCTATGTAGGTCATACTATACCATAATTCTTACTTCGATTTATCGTTACTGAGGTCTGCAACCAACTCCAGGTTACTCTCGTTGCTTATCCTTAAGACTGATGGTGTAATCTTACCTCATAATGTTGGACTTTTATCCATCTATTGTTGATTCACCTTAATGTTGATTCATCTTCTACCACTGATATCTTGATCTTTTATGTAACACCACTAATATGGCTCGCGTCTCATCGGGGACATCAGGAGTAATTATGTTGATCCTAAGGGTGATACTATACTTCCATAACCGCACTTTATATCATCCCATTATGACTCACCTTATATGGGTATTTTATCCCCTTACAATTCATACAATCCTTTTCAATTCATTGCTCAATCGAAGGCCCAAACGTCATCTTTTATCTATCATAATTATGCCCTTATTCTACTATCAGGGTAGCATTCCATCTCTTCTAAATGCTACTAGTCTTAGACTCCTTTGAGTTCATTCTGGCTATACTGAGCCTTCTGTAACTTAGAGAATCCATCAACTCTCTTATTTTCATGAGCTTAATCCCAAGAACTTATCCATTCTTGTCACCTTTTCACTTACCTTTTCTTATCCTTACTCCTGTCTTCCTAAAACCTTGTCTCTCTACCATACTTTATCTTGCTATCTACACATATCTATTCATACATGTTCACAACCTTCCTTCAACTTGCTTGCACCATAGATTTCCTTATGTTATTTTAGAACATCAAGCGAGACATCACATCGTCTCTAACTCTTCTTTATTCTCTTAAATAGACCTCTCGGTACCTAGAAACCATAGGCTGGAAGATATGCCACTGACGACACTGCTATCATTCTTGGATACTGAATCCTAGCACTTCTAGTCTTTTACCTGAAGTATGGACCACTCTCATCCTTCTATACTTGAGTATTTCATACGTTGTTTACTTTTACCTTACTTACTTTAAAGTATCACCTCACATTATTCTATTTCTTTCATAACCTCCCTCCCACATAAGTATAAATCACATTCACCATTAAAGCTTTATTATAATACTTGTACCTCTAGTTCCTATACAACCCAGTGGGAGCTCCATACTGAATTCTTATGAGGTTGGTAGTTTTCTAACTGGCTCTATCGTAGAGCCGTCAGAGAATATGGATCTGTACTATTTCTCTTGTACTTGTAATATTAAGAGTGATTCTACAATGTTCTCAATCATGATGCTTGTAACTTTATGGGTCTAATAAGCAGACTCCTAATTTACTTAGTTGATGTAACTCTTTAGTTTCATCTTTCTTCTGATTGGCCTTTATGTTGGATTAAGTTATCACCCGATCTATGGTTCATGGTATTAGTTATTATGTTTAGCCTTTCATGGGCGATGAAGAATATGTATGATACAATCCTTTAACAATTCAATCTTTTATCTAAGTCCTAGGCTCAATTCTTTCTTTTAACGTATACAAGAATCTTCTACGGATGCATGTTGCATGTATAAAACTCCGAATCCTTAAGTGCATTCATAACATAATCCACTCTGTATCATTGATCAAATAATTTCTTTCGTTCCATCTTAGCTTTCTTTCAACAAAGCTATTACTTTTCCTGGCTTTTCTGCCCCTTGTTGTGTCCATACTTAGCTTATCTTAGTGCCCACAAGAGTTTTCATACAACTCATATGATCTTGAATACTACTTTTAAATTTACTTTCCGTTCATTAGCCACGGTAGGTGCCACTTTCCTTTGGAGTGCTTCCAACGTTGTTGCGAGACTGTTGTTACATGACCATTTCCTCTTTAGGTCGTTGTGCTTAGGTTGAAGCTTTCTTCCTTATCTCCTCAGCTAGTCTTTCATTGTAGTACTTAGGGAGAACCCTTGACTCTCGTAAAGTTGTGAGCTTATTACGGACCTTTTTGATGTCCTTCCTTGCCTATAATCATCAGTAATTCCTTACCTCTGTGACCTTGTGCTTGTAGGGTTACTTCTGAATTGATATTTTGACTGCCTTACCAGTGACACTTTCTTTTATCCCCATAATACTCATACGGTACCTTTAACTACCCCGACTCTTAATTGAATATATCTCAAGTATTATAATGACATTATTGCGAGGCTGAATTCTCCATGGTGGGTTTTACTATGTTTATCTTATACGATCTGTTGACTCGTCTGTAACCTCCTGTTTAGCCATAACTGGGCTCTTCCTCATCAATTACTAACTACTCATTGGCCCATTCTCATATCAATATTCCGCGTAATCTTTCATGGGTTATTTCCTTTGTCTTAACTTACGTCTCGCACTGGCTCCTTATTTATTAATAATAGCTCGGACATGAACCTTTACTTCCTCTCCTTGACATCATTCTTGCACAATATTCCGTAATCATATCGTATCTGTAGGATTTTGGATAAGTGACATCTCATTCCTTTTTTATTTTTATCGCATTCTTCCTTTACCATTTCATAGTCACTAGAACCACTTAATTTTGATTTAATGCCACATCACTCTATATTCCGCCCTTTAGGGGAGTACTAAGAGCTAAAGCCATGAAAATCTACCTATAAATGTTTTATCTCTTCATCTTTGGCGTCGTTTCATAACATTAGTGATCCTTACTCATCTTGCGGCAATCCTTCTGTACCAAGGATAACAAGTTCCCTTACTCGCGATGGTGACACTTAGCTCAACTAGCACATACAGTCCCTTAAGCTTAACTTTGCTCACATTGCTTGCTTTAAGGAAGCATCTTCCTAAATGACCTTTCTCTGAATTTCTTATGAATCTTCTTCTGTTGTCCATTCTATTATGGCCGGAACGCAATCTGAAATTCTCATGATGCCGACCATTATGAAATAACTCATTCCTTAATTCATGTTTAGTTTGCCTTGTTCACCAGTCCATACTGATTTCTATTACTCTGGGTCTAACTTTTCCTTCTGGTAGTTGCATTGGTGTCACGAGCTTATTTCTCGAAATGAGGATATAACCTTATGGCCTATATTCTTTTGTTGTCTCAAGGACTGTCACCTCTCGTCTTTTTTCTTTATTTGACTATAGATTCTGTAACACTCTACCATTGTCACCCATTTATCACATCTCACTCATAATTCTTCCTTATCTCTCTTCTCATTACTCTGCTAATATTTCTGCCTATCCCTTTCTTGTGAAAACTTCAACAAGACATTCTTTCACTTTTAGCTTTCCTTTCTTCATTCATCGGCTCTTTGGGTTTCTCAACATCCTTACTCTACTAGGGATGAGAGTCAGACTAAGGTAATATTTATCCTTTCCAAGCATTTCAGTGCCTATCCTCGGATTTTTTTTTATCATGCTAGTATTCACATCTAATTGTAATATTCTAGATTGCATCACCTGAGTGTCTTAAAAGAAGATCTATTAGCACATCTATAACATCCTTTGGAAATATCAACTAATATAAACAATCTATTCACCATTTTGGGTTACTCTAACCCCAAACCGGATTCTGATGTTCCGTTCTTTTCATAAACTACACCTGTTAACCCCCATAGGGCATAACTGAGATGGGTGTGACTAATTGTACATACCTATATTATTAATGAAGGTAATTCAAAATGTTTATATATCTCTTCCAGTATTGTAGGTAATGTGTATCTCTACTAATTAGGTACCTCGTACCCTTCTTCACCTTTCTTCTTCTAGTTACTGAAACTTATATCTACCTTCCGATTCTCTTATTTCTTACCGTAAGAGTGCATAGAAATTCTTGCCTTAGGGATCCTTAACAAGAAGCTTGCACTTCTTAGTGTCATCATGTTCTACTGGAGACCTTACATTAATCATAAGCATGATGCAAAATCGAGTTCCTCTGACTCAATTCTTCCACATACACATTCAATCCCTTACCAAACATCTTTTTAGATGTAGGCATCGTTGTATTATGAATAAGATAGAATTTAGGAAATTGAGTTCTTACAACCGAGCTCTACCGCATGATCTAGAGTAAGAAAAAAGAGTGACAATCTTTAATGCCTTGTATCCTCCTGCTTATTAGTGTGGTGCACGACATACCCATAAACAAGACTCCACTAGACATGGCTTGTAGACTCCCTAGGACAGAACTGCTCTGATACCACTTTTGTCACGACCGAAACTGATGGGCCGAGACGGTCACCCGATACCTTACTCAACTGAGCAACAACAAAATGTATCTTTTCATGTCATACTATCAAGGATAACTAATATGGAAGGTGGCCATGAGATAAGTAGAATACAACATATCATACTAACTTATGCATAAGACATATGGCCTATAAGATCAAAATAGCCACTCGTATACTAAACATAGATCGACAAGACCATACAATCTTTTACATACATGACATCTGTGTACAAGCCTCTAAGAATACGTAATTTTCAAAAAGAACAATACACGTCTAAATCATACCAACCAAACAAGCAACTCTAAAGTAAATGGAGTGCACCAACACCTTTCACTGAGTTGATAGCCTACTTGGATGGATCTCGACCTGTTTGTCGGGACCTGCGGGCATGAAGTGCGTCCCCAGGCAAAAGGGATGTCAATACGAATAATGTACCGAGTATGTAAGGCACATAAATAAGTACATAATAGACATGTAATAAATATGGAGTAAATGACTCAGCCTATAAGTTAGGATAATTTTGTAATTCATGAAATAATTATAGTGTCATGTATATACGTATGAATATTATGTCATGCATAAGTACATGTTTCATAACATCATCAGGCTTCTGAGGGCATCCCATTATTTCATCTCAGCCACTGTGGGCAAAATCATCAATGTATACCAGTTGATCAGGTGGTGGTCAATAAAATATCTTGGAATGTCATAAGACCATTATACCTTTGAGTAATATCATGAAGTAAACATTTTTCAACTTATGTATTTTTCTAAGACCCATGAACAGATGATATAATAATATGACACATGGAGAATCAAGAACATAAGCATCTCTAGCATTTCTATGAATAGAGTCATTTATGAAAATTGCGCATTTGCTCGTTTCGTTTGTGTCGTATAGATCATGCCAAAAGAAAGAAGGGATAGCCTTAACATACGTGAGCCGATTCTCTTGACAATCCTTTAATACACGTTTATTTCGGAAAAACTCATTACGGTGAATCGAAGTAGGGAAAAATCTGTGTGATATTTTTGAGAAAGATTCTACCGTGCTCTCTTAGAACCGCGATTTCACGCTGCTCTGCAACAGCATGACCAGCACTATCTGAAACATTAAATAATGATTTTTTTATCAGTTTGTTGAATCTTATAGCATCTTCCTATAGATATTTCACACCCCAAATTCACATTACATAGGACATCTCCTGGTATTGAAAAACACTTGCAATTCCTTCTCACTTGAAACCATGGTTTCTCTTTAAATCCACCACTTGAATATCCATTCCAATGACCATATAATCTTAGCTTCTCTTTTTTAATGGATAAGAGAACTTGTCCATAAAGATCCATGAGAAATACTTCATTGTTATTTGTTTCTTCGTAGTTGTCAACTCTGAAAACAATTTCACCTTTAGAATTAAAGACAGTACAACCATTCCCATGGAACACTAGGGATTTCATCCTTATAGTGAAGGTTTCTCTTGTGGACGTCATATAATTAGGAGAGGTAAATGAAGGAGAATTAGAGTTCTTGATTAATAATTTAAGGAGCTTTTTTGGTACTTGTTTCCACCAAAGTACAATGAGTTCTCCAATCTTGCCACATTATCTCAAGACTTTCTTAGTTATATTAGGCTTGATTAAGTCTTTACTCTTGCTTCCACGTTTAGGGGTGGGTGTCTCCCCTTAAGCTTTATCCAAAATACCGAATATTTTATTTCGGACCGTATTTTATCTTAAAATACCAAACTTCGACGGAAATTTATTTTCTTTAATTTGTTTACCCTCTCACCTTCACGAATTTACTCATCACTTGTGAAATAGCATAATCCTTATAATCTCTTAATAATATTTTCCTTCGACCGATGTCAATTACCTTACGACAAATTCAACGTATAGTACTACAGGGTGCAACATCATCGTAATTTAATACTGCGAAGCATAACATCATCGTAATGTAATACTGCGGAACATAATATCAAAGTAATATAATACTGCAAGGCGTAACATCATCGTAATATAATACTACAAGGCATAACATCATCATAATATAATACTGCGAGACTTAATATCGACGTAATATTGCGGGGCATAACAGTGTGCCAAAGAAAGAAGGGATGAGAGTGGTTCGCAATGATAAGAATGGGATAATTCCAACAATGACCGTAACTTGATGGAGATTTTGCATGGACTGTAGAAAGTTGATCAATGCTACCCGAAAGGATCGCTTTCTACTTCCTTTTAATGACCAAATATTAGATTGGTGAACGGGAAGGTCCGTCTATTGCTTTCTTGATGGTTACTCAAGTTACAACCAAATTCAAATTGCCCCGAAGACCAAGAGAAGACAACTTCTACATATCCTTATGGCACTTTTGCCTTTAAGAGGATGTCATTTGGTCTTTGCAATGCTCCGGCTACCTTCCAATGGTGTATGATGGCTATATTCATCGACATGGTGAAGGATTTTCTTAAGGTTTTCATGGATAACTTTTCCTTTGTAGGAGACTCTTTTTATGGGTGTTTGACTAACTTGGCCAAGGTGTTGAGAAGATGTGAAGAAACAAATCTTGTTGTGAATTGAGAGAAGTGCCACTTTATGGTGGAGGAAAGCATTGTTCTTGGGCATAAGATGTCCAAAAATGGTATTGAAGTCCATTCGGCAAAGATTGATGTTATTTCCAAATTACCTCCTCCAAACACCATGAAGGGTGTAAGAAGTTTTCTAGGGCATGCAGGATTCTACCGGATGTTCATCAAGGAATTCTAAAAAGTGGTTAACCCATTGTGTAAATTATTGGAGAAAGCTGCCAAGTTTCACCTAGATGAGCCATGTATGGTTGCTTTTGAGGAACTCAAGTGGCGTTTGACAACCGCTCCTATAATTCAAGCTCCTAATTGGGAGTTGTCATTTGAGTTGATGTGTGATGCAAGTGATGTCATCATGGGAGAGGTGTTGGGCCAAAGAGTATGCAAGCTTTTCTATCCCATTCACTATGCTAGCAAAACAAGGAATGCCGCTCAAATGAACTATATGGTAACTGAAAAAGAACGTCTTGAAATTGTTTATGATTTTGACAAATTTTGTTCTTATCTTGTAGGTTCAATGTTAGTGGTACATTCGGACCATACCGCAATCTAGTACCTTTTGGAAAAGAAGGAGTCCACACCAAGGTTGCTTAGATGGATATTACTCTTGCAAGAGTTTGACTTAGATATCAAGGATAGAAAGGGCATAGAAAATCAAGTGGCGGACAACTTGTCTCATTATGAGTTGGGGGGGGGGGGCTTTGGAGGTCGAGGATATCAATGAATTCCTCCCGGATGAACAAGTATTTGAAGCCATAATTGTAGCAGATGATAAGTTTCCATGGTACGCTGACATGGCTAATTTCTTGGTGAGTGGGTTACTACCTCCAGGGAATCTTTCATACCAAAAGAAGAAGTTCTTGAGGGATAGTAACTCCTACTATTGGGAGGAACCTTATTTATTCAAGATATGTGTTGACAACATTATAAGGAGATTTGTTCCAAACGAGGAAGGGATGACGATCTTGAGGGCTTGCCATGAATCCCCTTATAGTGGACACCATGGAGGAAATAGGAACGCGGCTAAGGTTCTTGAGTATGGATTCTATTGACCCACTTTGTTCGAAGATGCCAATACTATAGCCAAATCTTGTGATAAATGCCAACGTCAAGGCAACATCTCAAGAAAGAATGAAATGCCTTTGAATCTGATTGTGGAGGTGGAGTTGTTTGACGTGTGGGAAATTTACTTCATGGGGCCGTTTGTGAGCTCCTACAACAACAAATACATCCGTGTGACGGTTGGCTATGTGTCAAACTGGATGGAAGTGGTAGCTCTACCAAAAAATAAAGCAAGAACTGTCATCGCGTTCCTCAAGAAGAATATTTTCACAAGGTTCGACTCTCCGAGAGCTATTATAAGTGATGGTGGTTCTCATTTTTGTAATCGATTGTTTGCCACTTTACTCGAGAAATATGGATTCAATCACAAAATTGCCACACCGTATCACCCACAAACAAGTGGGAAAGTTGAAGTTTCAAATCGTGAGATTAAGAGCATTTTGGCCAAAACCGTCAATGTCTTATAGGACGGATGTAGCAAGAAAACTTGATGATGCTCTTTGGGCATATAGAATGGCCTATAAGACACCAATTGGCATGTCTCCATATGAGTTGGTGTTCGAAAAAGTTTGTCATTTGTCAGTAGAGTTGGAGCACAAAGCTTTGTGGGCCATGAAAAAGCTCAACTTGGAATGGGTCGATGCGGCGAACTTAAGAGTGTCTCAATTCAATGCAGTGGATGAATTCCGGTTTCAAGCATATGAGAGTGCTTCTTTGTACAAACAAAAGATGAAATACCTCCACGACAAAAAGATCATAAAGAGGGAGTTCCACCTCGGGGACTTGGTTGTTCTTTATAATTCGAGGTTTAAGTTGTTCCCGAGCAAGTTGAAATCAAAATGGTCTGGGTAAGGTTGTGCATGTTTACCCATTTGGTGCCATATATTCAGAGTCTGGCGATGGTAAAAGGATCTTTAAAGTGAATGGGCAATGAATTCGGCATTATTTGGGTCTTATTAATTCAAGAAGAGTGTTGTTAGAAGTTTAGTTGGTGGAACTCCCACTAGCATCGTGAGTTGTGGTCGGTATTGTTTCGTATCACGACGTTAAATAATGCGCTTCTTGGGAGGAAACCCAAGTTCTTTTCTTTTATCTTTTTCAATTTGATTTTTATCTTGTTAGTTTAGCTTTGATTTTATTTTATTCTTTTACTTTGACGGGTTTTAGCGTTGTGTGGTTGTGCAGGCGATAACACTGAATTGGAGAAGCTGAGAGATATCATAGTTGCAGGTGAAATCGTGGGCCTAATCGTCTCCACATTTCTGTTCGTGGAGTAAGGCAAAATCTTCTGAAAATTGCAAAAAATGAGGTTGGCTCCACGATTGACCATGGTGTCCACGATCGATAAAGTGAAGCAATAGGTAATCGTGGAGACAACTTAAAATCATCTCCACATTTTTAATGGGGTCCACAACAATTCTAAAAAAAAGAGAGATACAATAGGATTTAGTTTTATTTCTTTTTCTCTTATTTTCATTCCTCTCTTTCACGCTCTCTCTCTCTCTCTCCNTTCTGGAAAGAATTCGTGGGTATTAAGAAAACCAGGTATGTGTGAACTCCCTTGTTTGTCCATACTAGCTTGATTCTTCTTCCCTCTACTCAAAACCCCAAAAAATTGCCCTTTTCTGCTCTAAGCTTCAATCTCTTGGCGAGATGGAATGGTTTCGAAGTTATTGTAATTATTAATTGTTGTTGGGTGTTTGTTGAACACCATTTTAATGGTGAAATTTTGGGTTTAAGGTATATTCATGTTTTTGTTAAGGAATTATGTTCAATGTGAGCACACAATATGTTTGTAAAAATGCCTGATTGAACTTGGACAAGCTAGGGCTCTTGAGTTCGATTTTCCTAGTAACTGATAATGCTTTGAAGTGTAATCTTCTTCGTTGAATGCCCACTGCTCATGTATTAGAACAAGAGGTGAACTTCAAGTTTATTCAAGTATTAGTGTGTCCATTTTATTTACGTGGGACTTGAAAGAAAAGTAGGAAATTGAGAAACACTTGAACTAACCATTGTGGAGTTGATTATCTCCGTGAACTTTATCGTGGAGCTTGGCAGAAGATTTTAAAACCAATCGTGGAGTGTTTCGGCTCCACGAAGTTAAATCGTGGAGCCATTCTCAGTTCGTCTCCACGATCAACCTTGCTCAGCTGATCATATTATACATTTATTAGCTAATTTTAAATTATTCCTTTTAATTTTCTTGTTTCTTTTTACTTTTTTAAGCATGTTTAGGATTCATTAGCTAGATGTTGAATTATTTATTTATTTATTTATTGCTTCTATGTTTTGCTTTAGTACTTGGTTCTAAAAGCTAAGAATCATGTCTTTTCCTTGTTTCATTTTCACATTATGACTCAACCACCAAAGAAAAATCCCAAGAGAGTTATTCAAGAGAGAGTACAATAGTGTGCAAAGGATGCGTCTTCTTCCAGAAAGCGAGATACACCGAGATAACCACAGGCTGCTTCATAATCTAATCTCAGAAAAAGGAAGCTGAGGGATGAACCAATTGAATCAATGGGAGCCTGAGTCTCAGCCTACGAATAACTTTAGGGAAGAGAACCCTGTTGAACATCAAGCTGAACCAGAGTACCTTAGATTCAACAGTCCAGGAGTTGAGGATATCTACAACTCTCAACTGAAATCGAGGAGCCTATGATTTGACAGGGGCATGGATTTGAGAGATGCACGTGCCTTCGTCCCTGGAATGATTGAGGTGTTAGAAAAGAGAGGTTGGTTGAAGTTTGCTGAAAGACCTGGCCAGGTAAATGAAACTTGGACCTGGAAATTTTATGCAAATGTCGCAGTGTTATCACAAGAGGCTGTTCTCATAACTATTAGAAGGGTCTACATTTTCATAGCACCAAAGAATATTAACAAGCTCTTGGAGTTGGCTGCACAAGATCCAGTATATTATGTTAAAACTCTAGCCCTTTCAAATGGGGAGTGTCGCATCTGGGCTGCAGATATCCTGTATCCAAAAGAGGGTGAACCACCAAAGTTTGGAAATTGTCGAATTAAGAAGAGCACTTTCACTCTCGAGGCGAAGAATTGGGTGAATTGTGTTCTAGCGAGATTGAAGCCTTCCAAGAATGATGACGACATTCCTCTACATAGAGCTATCCTTACAGCAGCTATTATGGAGGGATGGCCCATTGAAGTTGACCAAGTAGCGACTGCAGAGATCCGGGATGCCTTCGCAAAAGTCTCCAAATCCATGCACTTCCCCTGGGTTCTAATTGAGTTAATGAAAAAGTTTAAAGTCACGCCGACTTGAGGACAGATGGGTTCAAGGACCAAGAAATAGATAATTATTTACAGCAGAACTGGCTAAAAAGACTTAGACAAACTCCAGTGCATTAGCTGAGGCACCAGCTATTTATGAGGCTAGCCAGTTCGAAGAGATAGCCTCTGTTATACCTCCTACTAGTATTCCAGCTATAGGAGCAGGGTCTTCTTCCACAAGTGAGGGCCATGTGGTCCCTTCTTCAGGTACCATTGTCTTTCCTACCAGGTGTCCATCAAGAGGAACGTCAAATCAATCTGTGCCTGCTGTTCTAAAGACAATGTATGGCAAGCGCACAAAAATGGAGCAAAGATTGAGAGAACTATGGAAAAAGTCAATCTTTACATCCACAGAACCAATGATGAAAATTCTAGAGCAACTACTGAAAACTCAAGCTGAGCAAGTAGAAAGAGAGAAAGCAAGAGATGAGAACGAAAGAGAAAGAGATTAAAAAACTAGCTAAAATTGAAGAGACTATTGCTAGTATGGAGAAAAGGATAGAAAAGCTTGAGAAGTCAATAGAGTTTGAGGATGTGAAAGATAACAGTTATCTACTGATGTGATGGTGCTTAGGAAGGCATGGGGCAATTCGACAAAGGAAGTTGAAGAGTTGGAAGATGAAGATGAGTCAGAGAAAGATCAAGAACAGGATGACCTAGCTAAAGAAGTCCCTGATAATCATAAGAGAGCAAGTGTAATTGCAATATACAAGCACACAATGGGACGGACAATCTATTTTAGAAGCGGATAAAGACCTGGACAATCTATTTTAGAAGCGGATAAAGACCTTCCAGATATACATGAGCCATCTGAGATTGAGATTTCTCCTCCATTTCAGAGCACCACGAAGAATATGACACAACAACTACGTGTTGAGGACGATATCTTGGAGGCATAATCTAATTAAGAGAAGTCTACTCAAGCTTGAGTCTTAGGGAGTTCCCTCTCATTTATGCTCTGTTTTATAAGCATTAGGGACAATGCTCAGTTTTTGTGTCGGCATAGAAAATTTCTTGAGAAGTTTTTGTTTTGGATTGTTAAAATAATGGTAACTTGAAGTGATTTAGTTCTTATTTGAAGTACTTGTTACTTTGAATATTTGGTGAACTTCAAATTGCTTCTTTGTTATCTCTTTTGCTCTAGTTAAGTTTTCTTTTGTTTACCGTGAAAATGGTAATAACAATTAAATTTAATTTAGCGGTTTTAAAAATACGTGATCTATTTTTAAGCTAGTTGTTAGGTAGTTGATGCTATGTGAAAGATTTATAATCAAGAAATGAACTTAGAAACGAGATGTTAACCAAACTGAACTGCTATCACGCGGCCTCTTACTTGCCTATTCGAGGGCCTCGGGGTCGAGTCCGAAGATAAGCTGGGAGCTATCGAGGATGGTCGATGGAGGCTAACAGTTATAAATAAATCAATGACGGCATTTATGGCCAATACTAAGCAATAAATGATGAACTTTAAGTAGAACACAATAAATACGAGCAATAAATGAAGTAAAATCAAGAAAATATGTTATAGAGCAGAGAGAATGTTATTGAGTCTTTTGTATTGAGAAACAGATATTTACAAAATGACAAGGACCACCTCTTATATAAGAGGGAGAATCCCAACATAGTACAAGTGCATTTATTACAAAGATATGGAGATGGGACATCTAGTTAATGCCATGATACGGGCTTAAACTAGCCTGACAGACTTTGTCGGCTTTAGTTTCATGCCTTGGGAACTCCCCACTTTCCTTCCATAACCGTTGGTCTCATACCGCCCTGAGGTTGAGCATCGATGGCCCTCGAGGGATGAAACTCAACCGTGGTCTCGAACCTTCGAGACGTGCCTCTGAGGTGTCGTAACGATGGAAAATTGGACCCTCCAATTTTACGGTTAGTCCCCGCATTTCTTAGAGTAGAAAGATAATAAACGACCTTGACAACCAGCTTTCCGAGTTTTCGTGATGACGTCATACTAATGACACAAGTCTCCATGATAACCGAGATGTCCTGTCGTTTCACCTTTCCAGAATCATTCAAAGCATTGTCGTTTCTTATTCTTTAAGGCAATAATGTTACCGCCGGTCCAGCTCCCAAGGATGTATTGAATGCGCCTTTCGATACGTCTTTCGAAGACAATAATGGCATCGTTGGTTACATTGCCGCCATTTCTATAAAT